AAGCGATCTTGATAAAAAGGAAAAATGAGAGTTGTTTGAAGAAACCAATGTATATGGCCACAGACCATAGAAATAAAAGCAGACAATGGAGAATAGATAAGAAAGCATGACACAGTCCTGTAAGAATAGTGCTAGGAGTGCTAAAAATCAGAATGGCTAAGTGTGATGAGGAAAGCTAAAGACAAAAAAAGAGAGATACTGTTTTGTTTTATTAGATTGGAGGGGAACAAAAGATAGGACAATTGTTCAGAATGGATGGGACAATGAGAGCTAACAACAGATTGCTTTATTCTTACACGACTTCAATCTTCTCTGCTAAAGAGAGAACCTTTGCATTAGAAAGGACCAAAAAGAAAATACTAATAGAAAGTTGATACTCAAGATACACAAGGAGATAGTAAGAAATCATCTATTTGACCTTGATGAATTATATCCCTGGGGACTGCAATAATTGGCAGACATGATTACATGTCTATTGTCAATGATATTTGAAAGAGGTATGGTACTACTGCAGAAATCTCCAATACTACTTCCTTTTAGAAAACAGGAGAAGAACTGCAGAAGAGAAAATGCTTCTGATTGTCAAAAAAAGAAAGAAACTGAAGTGTGTTATTTAGAGGTCATTTACTTCAATTCTTAGTAAAATTCTAAAACAGATTAAAATCTTGTTAGTAAACAAGAAATGGTGATAACCAGCAGGGATTCACCAAGATCAGATGGTGTCATGCAACCTCACTTCCTTTTTCCAACAGGGTTATTAAACTGGTAGATCAGAGGAATGCTGTAAATACAGTTTATCTAAATTTAGCAAAGCATTTGATGATATTCTTGTTGAAAAGATGGAGAAATGTGGAATAGATGATAATACAGTTAATTGAATTCAGAAGTGGTGGAATATCTGTACTCATTAATGGCTCAGTGACATCTTGAAATGAATGGATTGTTCCAGGGATCTATGTTGTCTACTATTTGTCTCAGTGACTTGGATTAAAGGTTTAGATTTGTTTAAAAGCCCTGACAAGCTAACTCCTGCCTAGCTTGGATGCCTATTGCATATTTCTCTACTCTATACGTTATATTCCAGCCAAATGACCTACTTGCTGTTCCCTGTACATGACATTCCTTCTTTCATTTTTGTACAAGGTATCCCCATAACTGGACTGTATTCCTTCCTCAACTCTGCCTCTCTGCCTTCAGGCAGAAGGGTTGGAAATTATATTCTTATACTTGCATAGTTGTATGCTTACTATAAAGGAAATATGTACCTATATAGGTAGGTAGGTACTCACAAGAATAGATGACATACTTATCAAATTTGTAGGTGACACTAAGCCAGGAAGGGCAGCTAACACAATGAATGACAGAGCCAGGATCTAACAGATATCTTGATAGGCTAGAAAATGAGGCTGGAATTCAGTAAGGATAAATGTAAAGTTTTGCACTAGGGTTCAAGAAATCAACTTTACAACTATGAGATGAAGCAGATACAGCTAAACACTAAAACGAGAGGTTTTAGTGCACTACAAGCTCGATACAATTCAACAATATACTATAGTAGACCCCCCAAAAAAGGCTAATGAGAACTTAAGCTATATTAAAAGAGGTATAGTTTCTATGAATAAGGAGGCAACAGTCCCTCTGTGTTCTTCTTTGGTCAGACTGAACTGGGTTATTGTCTTCAGTTCTTGGCTCACAGTTTATGAAGGACATTGATTAACTTGAGAGCAGCCAGAAGAGGAAAAACAAGAAGAAGGGTGATGAGTTCATGTCATCTAAGGATCAGTTGAAGGAACTAGAAATGTTTGGCCTAGAGAAGACAGCATGGATATAATAATTGCCTTCAAACATTTGAAGGGCTGCCTATGTGCAGAGGGATATGGCTTGTTCTATTCAATAGAGTAGGATAAATAGTATAGGTATTATTGTTCCCATTATACATAAGAAGAAACCAAGTCTTGGAAAGATTATATAACATGGCCCATGTAACCCAGTAAATAAATAGGGCAGTCATATCATCTGCTATAACTTTGCAGGGAATTCATGAATTTAAATTTTTGATACAGAACAAAGAAGCGAGTACAACTGATTGAAGATGAATAAAAAAGCATGGTATAGACCTACAATAATACAGTGACAAAGCTAAGAATGGGCTGAATCTGATGGGAAAAGTGGAGTATGATAAAAATTATTGGAGTTCTTTTTTTTTTTGATGGTGGAGAGTTGTATTGAGGAAAGAAGATCAAAGTTGTGATAGGAATATTGCTTCAGAGAGGATGGGATTATAGTAACAGTCAATGGAGAAAAAGCAGAGTTACTTAGCTCTCCTTTTTGCTTCTGTTTTCTCTGGCAAGGAGCATCATTTTTGAAGTGGGAAAAACAATAGGCCTAGGGAGTGGGTCCACACCAGTCATTGGAGATCTTGATCAAAGATTAGCTGATTATTTATCAGGGGTGTTCTAGAGGGAATTGCAGTTAATTTGCAGTTTATGGCCTGCACAACACAAACACACATGCACACACATGCACACACATATACACATCTTACTAGTCCATCATTCAATTTCCTTGTGCTTACTGGAAAGAGTACCTAATGCCAAAAGGACATCTTTTGAACATTTACTGTTAAAGGAGCTTAGTCTACTCAGAGCCTCAAGCTTTCCACCCACACTTAAACTAGTGCTCTAGAATTCAACTCTGTCTAGTTTGCTAAATTGGTAGATGTGCACTATTACTCATTAAGCAAATTTATTGCCCAAGAAGATGTGAACATATACAATTGGCCTTAGATACAACTCAGGCAGGTGTAGTGCATCCCTCCAAAGCTGCATACTGGGGCACATCCTTGCTATAGTTCAGGATACCTTTGCCAGGGATCTCTCACTGGGATCATTCATATTTGGATTTGCTGGCAGCCAATCTTATTCTCTTTTGATGATTTAGGCAAACAACTGAACTCACTTTTATGGTGGGAGGAATAATGGCATGGATACTATGGCCTGATTACCAACTTTTTGATAGCTAATGTTACTCAGATCTCTTGTGGTTCAAATATTTGGTAGCAACCAAAGAGTAAAACAATTTAGATAATTTCCAGAGACAGAAGTCCTGGGTTCAAGACCTAGCCCTAACACTTTTAGCTTGTCAGTCAGACAACAAGCCTTTAATAAACACTTACCACATTCCAAGCATGTTATGACAATCCCTGCCCTCAGAAAGCTTGCCTTCTAAGGATGAAAAACAATTCACAAAAGGAAGATAGAAAGGGGTGAAAGAGATCAAAATACCAAGTATTGCATATGATAACAAAATCTGGAATGCAGGCTGATGAGCTTGAAGAAGCACATAACTTGTAAATCCTCTTCTTGTATCTCATTATGTCATGCAGGTGAGACTGGATCTCAAAGACTGTGCCAATGGAATATAACCTTTGGTCAATTCTCCCAAACCATCATCCCATATCCCATCAGTTAGTCAAGTAACATTTATTAGGTACCTACCATATGCCAGGAACTGTTCTAAGTGCTAGAGAGACAAAGAAGGGCAAAGGACAGAATATAATCTTGGTCTTACAGGTCTCTTGTCCAAAGATCAGCCTGAGTTCAGGGAGGTGTGCCACCAGATTGGTGAATTTTTCAAACACAAAAACTCTCAAAGGGGAATTTGAGCTGTTATCTTCATTGGTGGAAAGAATACCAACATGAGTGAAATTTGATCCAGTAGAAATAACCTAAGCTTTGGAATCAGAGTACTAGGTTCTTCTCCTGCCTCTGACACTCTGACACTGCCTAAGTGGCCTTGGACAAATCACTTAACCACTCTGGGTGATCTTTAAAATTGCCTGATCTTGAAAATTAGGAGGGTGAACTAAGTGATCTCTGGGGTCCCTTCCATTGGTTCTATATAGATCCTTGAGATGTTATGTTGATAATAATATTTGCATTACCTATCTGCAAAGGTTGATATGAAGAAAGAACTTGTCAAACTGTATATGTGATCTGTTATTATTATCTAATAATGATAAACATGCAAAACGATAGCTATCCAGCTTTGTCTTGATACTGCACCTGCCAGCCCAGGGATAGAATCCATAACTCAGGGCTTCTGCAATGTGTCATTTCTGTTTTCTTATTACAATGGTGCTATTGGAAAGAGGCTCAACCTGATAAAGTAGACATATTTGGATCTAAACAAAAGTTCTAAAGAAGAGAATATTCTTGTTTCCCCACTCCCCCATACTGCACAGCTTTCATTAACTGTCTTTATGTCCAATTGCGTGAGGTGCCAGTAAGAAAAATGGAGATGTGACTCTGTGAACCTTGGTTTACAATCTATCCCATTGTCTGGGCCTGTAGAAGGACACAAAACAAGCTAGCAAAGGCATCATCCCTAGAAAACAGTGTTTCCAGTCTTGGCCCACCCTCTCCTGATCCCATTAATTATAGAGGGGACAGGACAATGTTGGTTCCCCTGCCCATTCAGGAAAGGAACATAAGTGTAGGGTAAATAAAGAGTGTCATGTCTGGGGAACTAGGACGTGGTGGATTAGAAAATTATAGACATCTTGTGCAAGCTTGGTGAGGTTTTCCTTGCAGGATCATACCAATTATGCAGGTCTTTCTATTCACATAAAGCATTCATATAATCACCGCCACTTACAACTGGCCTATTCTTGGAAGATGACAAAGCGTGCATTGTAGAAGACTTTATTAAACAATTATAACAGGTGAAAACTTCTGCATTCCTTTTTCATTATGTCTTAGGCACTTGGGCACTGGGAACAGGAAAGGTGCTGAGTTGCTTACATACCTGGCCCAGGCCATGCAGTTTTGAGCCTGACAAACTAGTTAGATTCTGGGTAAGGAGCTGAGAATAATGCTTTCATTGTCAGGCCAGAAGGAAAACCGGCAGCTGCAGGGTGTGTAGGTAAATACATGGGAAAGGGAGAAGATTATATACAGGGTCAAAACCAATGATAATGTGTCTTGCCTACTATTCTTAGGCCAGGCACATCAAACTGTACTTGGTGTGAAGAAGTACAGGTTTCAATTTAGGTAATGTATATGCTGCTGAAGCCAAGAAGAGGTCTGTGACCATGGCAATCTATCTCCTGTAGATTAATATATGCTGGAGGTAGGTGTGTCATAAAGTAGAGTTAATTCAGGGGAGCCACCTCTCCGTATTTCCCTCCTCTTCCCTAATGCCTTTGTGCTTGCTTGCAAGAGAGTCTTAGTAGGTGTAGGGCTATTGCTTTTAAATGTTGCCCCTGACCCAGATAATGTCAAAATGTCTGAATGCTTGCAATACTCTTTTTTGAAAAAGAGCATCTCTAATGTAATGCAAATGCACATCATGGGGAAATTCCAGCTGAGAAAATGAAGCCTTATATTTCTAAAACCATATACATGTCAATAGCCCATTATTCTCCAGTTTTAAATGTAATTGCAGCCCAGCTTTGAATGAATTCCTGAAATAATAAAATGCACCGAGTAGCAGGCCTCAAGTTCTCCAGTTATTTTGCTCTTGCTCTTCCTCCCCCTAGGCCCTCCCCCTCCTCTAAAGCAAGAGGAGATTGTAAAGAGAGGAGGGGGTAAAGGAGGGGATCAGAGAGAAAAGTGAAAGTCATAGGCTTTTCTTGAATGTGTAATTGGAATACCATGTGTATAGAAAAATATGCAACCACTACAACAGCCATGGGTCTAAAGCATTTATTGAAACATATCATGGTCCAGTTCTGCGTGATAAATTATTTCCAGGCAATTAAGAATAATTATAATATTTTTCTTTGGAAGGGACTTCCTTCTATGTCCCATTTTCCTTTAAAGCTGATGTTTCCTGTAATATGTGAAGAACAACTGTTTTGAAAGACTCTTTTCTTAGGCATGTGCTTTTTGATGCTTTTTTTTCATTCTTTTTAGGCATGACTGTTTTTGAGATATTTACCACCTGTGGAATAGGACTTTTATCAGCAGTATTGGTGAGTTCTGTTATCTCATTATTTCATGGCACTGCCCCCTTGCCATTCTCTTGATTCCTCTTCTCAGGAATATTCCAAGAAATGTCTCTCATGATCAAAACCAGCATTGATTAGAATAACAGAGTGGAGGCTTGGAGTGATGTTTCCCATTTTCTCCCCTCTTCTCAAGGTGATAGAGTCTATATCTCATTTCAATAAGTGAAACTGATGTGTCTCAATTTCCTGGAATAAGAATGAGGGACCTACTAAATGCATTTCTGGAAATAGGAAATGCATCTTTCGAGAACTAGATGCAGTCTTAGTGAATCCCACATTTGGACAGCAATTTTAACCTAGCCAACCCTTTCTAATTTGGGGGGGAAATTCTTTATTAGGTAGTTGTTCTAAATACAACTTGTGGACCTATGAACTTCCTCAAGTATCTCTGGTTTGGTAAGGAACAAAAATTGAAAAAAAAAACTATAAAGTGGTAGATGATTATTAGAAGATGACAGATGTGGACTTTTTTTTCCCGTTCTGTTAGTAAGAAATTATACTGATATTCATTTACTTTCAGCAGTTTTCTATAGCCTTCACATATATCAGGAGTGCTGTTCCTTTTGCCTAAAGATTTCAAAAAGTTCTCTAACATTCACAGACTTTCACAAGACTCCTGATGTAAATAAGAGCAAATCTATTAAATAGATATGAGGACAGCTAGGTGGCACAGTGGATAAAGTGCCTGGCCTAGATTCAGGAGAATCTGAGTTCAAATTTGACCTCAGATATTTATTAGCTGTGTGACTCTGGGAAAATCACTTTCCCAGTTTGCCTTCGTTTCCTCATCTGTAAAGTGAGTTGGAGGAGGAAATTGCAAACCACTCCAGTTATCTTTGCCAACAAAACCTCAGAGACAACTGAACAGCAACAGCAAATTAGATATATGTATAGATATGTATGCCAAGGTACAAAGCAGGGGCTGGGAAACAGATTTAGCCTAGGCACTCTGAGGTCATTTAGGTCAGTCACCTCATTTCCTTTTTTTTAAAAAATTTTATTAATTTATTTTGATTTATCAAAAATCAATTCCATATGCTTTTAAGTTGAAATTTTTTCTCCCCCTTCCTCCCCCCCCACCCTCCCCAAGATGGCATACAATCTGATATAGGCTTTACATTTACATACCCATTAAACATATTTTTACATTAGTGAAGTTGTAAGTAAAAATTAAAACCAATAGGAGGGACCATCAGAAACATGAAACAAAACTCAACAGAAGGTAAAAATAAGTGATAGCGATTCGACTTCCATAGTTCTTTCTTTGGATGGGGAAAGCATTTTCCATCCCGAGGCCTCTGGAGATGTCTTAGATCTTTGTAATGCTGAGAAGGGTTCAGTTTAACAATCTTAGTCATTGCATAACGTGGCTATTATTGTGTACAAAGTCCGCTTGGTTCTGCTTACTTCACTCAGCATCAGACCATATAAGTCTTTCCAGGTTTTTCTGAAGTCAGCCTGTTCATCATTTATTATAGCACAATAGTATTCCATTACATTCATATACCACAACTTGCTCAGCCATTCCCCAGTTGATGGGCATCCTCTCAGTTCCCAATTCTTTGCCATCACAAAAAGAGCTGCTATGAATATTTTTGTACATGTGGGTCCTTTTCCCATTTGTTTGAACTCTTTGGGATATAGCCCTAAAAGTGCTATTGCTGGATCAAAGGGTATACACATTTTTGTAGCCCTTTGGGCATAATTCTAAATTGTTCTCCAAAATGGTTGGATCATTTCTCAACTCCACCAACAATGTATTAGAGTCACCTCATTTCCAAGGTGAGAAACTAAAACCCAGAGTTGTTAAGTAATTTGACCAAAGTCACATGGGTAGTCAAGAATTGAACTAGGATTTAAACTGTGTTCCTATGACTCCAAATCCAGCATTCCTTTCATTGTACTACAATGAGTGCTTACTTAGATTGATCACTTAAAAAGGAAGAAAAACATCGGATTCTTTCAATCCATTTCCCTAATTTAACCATAAAGTCCTTTCAAACACATGCATCTACAAAACTGGTTGATTTGCAATTGATCTCAAACATGTTCCATCTTTCAAGGCTCAACTCAAATGATATATGCTGAATGAAGTGTTTTGTTTTGCTCCTCATTCAAAGTAATCTTGTCCTCCTCTGAACATAACAGGTTTTAAAGCTCTCTTATTTTTCTGCACTAAATTTTGCATCATAATTATTTGTGTATATTTCATCTCACATAAATAAGACATGGGATTCATTGTACAAGCACAGCTCAGGTTGGAAGAAATGGGAAGAAAGAAAGAAATCCCAATAAAAGAAGGTGTTTAAAGTGAAATTATCCCTTCCACATTGTGACTTTCTCTATAGTGGTTTTGATATATTGTGGGTCAGCATAACAAATTAAATGGAAATTTGGGGGAGTATTGTGGAAGCTGCAGATGACATGTGAAGGCCAACAGATGACACAGAAAAAGTTTAGAAACTCAGAAATGCATTTTATGTATATATGTATGTATATATATATATATATATATATGTATGTGTATATGTATGTATTATTGTATGATACCAACCTAAATTTTGCAATAAAGTACTGTAAACACCCAATAAAAGCAAATGAAAAAGTTCAGACTTTCCTGGTACAAAAGGAGGGCCAAAAACTTTTATTCAGATTTTCTAGATCACTGGGGCATTGTACTCCTAATACCCCTGATTTGGAAAGAATAATAGGATACCTTTGTTATTTAACAGGATACCTCTGTTATTTCTGTTAGGTTCCTAGTCACTATACTGTAACCATTGCATTTACATTCTAGTGATTATAAAACAGAAAATGAACCATGAATCTACAAACCTAGCTTGAGTCAAAAGAAACAGGAATAAATAAGGATCCCAAAGGATATTTGTCACAAGGACTTTTTCTTAGACTTTTCTTGATAAAAGGAATCAAAGCTGTGGCATAAGGGTAGTTCCATAAAATAATGAGATTGTAGACCCCACTAGTGACTGCAAGTTTCTTGAGGTCAGGTAGCACATATGACTTGTGTCTGAAATCTCTATCACATCTTAATAGTTCTCTGGCAGACAACAGTCACTTTGAAACCCCACATAAAATTTTTTGTGAGCCTGAAAGAACCATATAAGTATAAGCTAATATTATGATAAGTAATAACAAGTTGCTTATACAGATTATTATTAGTAATAGTAATAATAAAAATAAATATTGTCTGATGAATAAATGTACTCAGCCCAGAATAACTAGGTTCAATAAGCTTGAGAAAACTATATTCCCAAAGAGAGACTTCTCACAGCCAGAGGTTACTTCAGTCAAAATCAACTTACCTCAGTTTTAGGAAGTACAAGACTTAGATGATGTCAAGTACTGAATTTATTTTCCTTGGGTAAGTTTTGCCTCCTTTTTTTTCTGAAGGAATACTGGGGTCCTCAAAAAATATTTGCTGAAGTGTTACTGGCTACCTTTAAGCTTTCATCTTCCTTTAATATATGTCACAGGATGAATTCATAAAAATTCCACCTATCTGTTTCCCATCAAGCTGAATGTCTGTCACTGTTTGAAACCCTGAGGACAGACAAAACTGTAAAATTAACTCTCCTTCAGTCCGAGGGGGGAAAATACAGATAAAAACAGTCTCCTCAGGACTTAAAGTCTGTGGTGGTTGATTAGTCCCTGCAGTAGGGAAAATTAAATTTTGTGGTTGAGACCAGCATGCTTGGATGGTTTAATAATGCTATGGCCATCATCCAATGGCCGACAACCAAAAAACGGAGGTACTCGCTGTACTTTACTCCCTCGTGCAACACCTGAAAATCCTGGGGCGAATCAAACAGCAAATTAAAGCTCAAAAAACCTTCACCTGCAAAACATGTACTGTATTAGGAACTCATTTTAATGCTTTCTGGCTGAAGTCATAGGGGCAGGAACCTCAAAGGAATGACAAAGGTATCCTGGTAAGTTCTCTCAGCACCTTCTCATGGGGCTTTCTTTGTTTCACCCCCTTTCTTCTAACTTGAGCTATGCCTGTAGCTTAGTGGTACATTCTCTATCTAAATCCCAAGCTGTACCAGAGCCAAATTGCACACTGAGTGGCAATCAAGTTACACACACACACACACACACACACACACACACACACACACACACACACACACACGCGAGCGCGCGCCTTTTCATGCACCCCTTATGAATGAACATATACATGAAGGGCTGTTGTTGATTGGAAAGAAAAGCATTTTAGACCCTGTCCCCTCCCGTGAATCTCTCACAGGGCCCCTGCAACTCAATGTGGCATCAACATCGCATTTGACTTCCAACTATTTTTCAAGTGGTGCACATGAGGAGTCCACATTGCTTGGGGAGTTGGAGAAGAATCAATTGGGTCAAAGACCTTTTTTCCAAACTGAACTTGCACATTTAAATAGCAAAATACCCCCCAAAGCACCTTTAAAGACAAAACAAAACAGAACTGTATACAGAAAGGGAAGGGTTTGGTCAGATTTTAAAAATAAGGAATAATAATAATCAACATTAACATTTGTCTTAAAATTTGCAAAGTTTTAAATATTTTATCTCATTTGATCATCACAACAATCGTGTAAGATCACAATATTATAGGTATTATTAGTCCCATTTTACAGATAAGGATAAGCAATCTGGGGCTTACAGAAGAAAAGCTATTCATCTGAGATTTCTGAGTTAACAAAGATATAATTTGGAGAGTTTAAGGAAGTCCCTGTATTTTTGTTCAAAGACAGACTCCTGACAATGAGGTCTCACTTCCCCAACAATGGACCGGAGTTAGCAAAATTTCTGTCAACATCATTGTACTGGAGGGAGTACAAAGTGTATGTAACAGCTGGGGTTGTGGAAAATATTTCCTTTGGGAAGAAGCTGAGATGAATGAGTGTGGGCTCTGGCTTGTGAAGCTCAGAAATACATACTTAACATTTGGATTAATAGGCAAGAGAATAATTTTTTCAGATTCACTTTAAAGTTTAGTGTTTGTCAGAGACATTGCGTCTCCTCTCTCTTCTCACTACCCTACAACCCTCCTGTGTCCCTTAATTAGAAGACAACGTTTGAAGCCAAAATCTATTTAGAATATATGATTTTGGTTATCTCGTGCTTTATAAGCCAGAAGAAATAACTTATAATGTATTTTGGATAATATTTGAGTATATGCGTAACTACCAAATCTCATCAAGTTGAGAGGGACCTCAGAGATCATCTAGTCTATTTGGCAAATGAGGGAATTGGTACCTAGGAGGTTAATGTGACTTAGCTAAGGTCAAACAGATGGGAAATGACAAAGCTAGGATTTGAACACAGGTCTTCTGAATCCAGAGCTAGTTGTGTTCTTTCTCCTAACTATGCAGAAATGGAGTGGGATTCACGCAGCTATTGTTATGGATAACAAAATGTAAAATTATAATGAATTTGGAGGTTTCACTGAACAAGGAAAAATTCCGGCATTTACACTGGTAGGCAGAATCTGTGGTGTCAACCATATAATATAACTTATGTCTGGCTATCGCTCATTCACAAAGTTCACGTTTAAGAAACAGTAGAAAAAGCTTATTCATACTCAAAAGGAAATCCAGCAGGGAAAAGGAAAGTCAGTTCTCATCCATTTGATTACCCACTAACTCTGGGTATACCCCAAGGCTTCCAGATGAGTATTTTGTTACTCAAATAGATTTCAATCTACAGAAAACAAAATTTATTCTTTTTTTGCTTGATTTTTTTTACTTCCACTGAAAGGTTCTGAGAAAAGAGATTAGATTCTCCTTTCTGTAGATTCAAAGCAAAATGGAAAAAGCACTGGATTGGTAACATGGGCTCTTTGCCCCTAGCTGACTGTGATCCTTTGGTCAAGTCATTCAGTTGTTCAAGGTCTCAGTTACTTCATCTGTAAAATAGAGGAGAAGGTCTAGAGAATATTCAGAGTCCCAGCTAGCTCTAACATTCAATAGATTTATGGTCTTCATTGATACAGAAAGGCATTATTCTCAGAACTACTAGTTAGTTGCACTCAGAGTGATCATCAGTGGATCAGTATCCATTGAGGAAATATCAAAATAGATATTACTATACCAACAGACATTGAAGCTTAGCATTATCCTTTAATAAATGACCTGGATGATGGCCTGGAGAACACTCTCATTGAATTGGCCAGAGGGTTAAACTGAGTGGGAGGAGGGGCAGCAATATTAGCCAGCAACTTGTGACAGCAGAATCAAAGTTAGTAATGACCCTGAACAATTGGAAACAAAATCAGAAACGAATGAAGTTCAAGAAAGACAAGTCACAGGAAAGAAAAGCATATTTCCTAAACAAAAGTTGGGGGAGGCCTGAGAGTTATGCAGACTCCTCATCAGAATTCTTTGGCAAAGTAAATCTTGTGTCCTCAGAATCATTAACTCTGGCATATTTTATGTTAAATCTGGGGCCAATGGACTAGAAGTTCCCACCTCCAAAGGTCTCCATCTTCCCCAGGGTGCAGCAGCCACCAACAGGATGCCCTGACACTGCTATTAAGTTTTTTTAGTTTAAATATATTACCTCAAATATGATCTGTACCCCTAAATTGAAATCTCTTTAAAGTACTGCATACACTGATAAATATCACACAGTTTAAGTCATGTGCTGGTTTTATGTAAGACAGATTTGGAGAAATGGGACATATTTTAATATAGGCAGTACCCTATTTTATCTTTACTCCTCATACCAGCTTCTATCAGAGACTGTTTTTGGACCATGGCAGCTGCCAATTCATTCATACAATTGAAAGCTATTGAAGTTCTTTGACATCAACAAAGAGAAGAATCAGTCAACTCAGTTCTCATCCATTTGATTACCCGCTAACTCTGGGTATACCCACAAGGCTTTTAAATGCTTACTATATACCAGGCTGTGTACTAAGCTCTGGAGATATAAAGAGAAAGCAAAACCAGAACTTGACCTCAAGGAACTTATATTCAAATTGTGGGGACAACATATACAGGTATGTATTTTGTATTTAAGTTTTAATATTTAAGTTTATAATGTTTCTTTTTTCTTTTCTTACTGTGTATTTTTAAGTTTTAGTATTTAAGTCTAAAATTAAAAAAAAACACACATACAAGTTGCATGCAAATTAGACACCATATGACCTTAAAAGAAAAGCTTCACGGCCCAGGAAAGGTCTCCTATAAAAGGTGAAGTTTTAAAGGAAGCCAGGGATTCTAAAAAGCAGAAGTAAGAAGGGAGAACATGCCAGACATGGGGACAGCTCATGTAAAGACTTGGAGATGGGAGACATAGGTTTATTTATGAGGAACAAGAAGTAGATTATCATGGTTGGATTATGGAATTCATGGAGGGGAGTATAAGACTGGAAAACTAGGAAGGGCCAAGGTTGTGAAGAGCTTTAAATGCTAAATAGAAGTTTCTATTTGTTCTTAGAGGCAATGAGGAGTGTATTGCATAGAAATAGCCTGACTTGAGCTTTAGGAAAACCACTTTGGCCACACTGCGGGGGATGAATTAGCTCAGGGACCAACTTGAGAGAGGAAGAACCAGTTAGACTTTTGCAATAATTTAGGTGAAAGTTAATAAGAGGTGTGTGCATGGGGAGAAAGAAAGGACTGGATTGAAAGATGTTGTATAGGTAGAAATAATACAAGTGATAAGACTGGATATGCTGGATAATTCCAAGGTTGGAAACTGGAGTGATTAAAAAGATGATGATGTCCTTGGCATCAATAGGGAAGTTTAGAAGAGAGTTAGGTTTCAGGAAAATAATAAGCTTTGTTTCAAATATATTGAGTTTAAAATTCAAACTGGATATGAAACATTCAGTAAGTCATTTTTGATATAGGACTGGTACTTAGGAGAGAATCTAAGACTAGAGTTGTAGATCTGAAAAGAATCTTCATAGACATAATAATTGAACCCATAGGTGTTGATGAGATCACAAAGTGAGAAAATATGGAGAGAAAAGAGAAGAGAGCCTAGAACAGAGCCTTGGGATAGACCCAAGGTTAGTAGGCATAACATGGATGAAGATCATAGATCTAGATTTGGAGGGGTCCTCCAATTTCATCCAGTCCAGCACACAGATGAAGAAACAGGCCCAAAGAGAAGTGACTTGCTTAAAGTCACAAAGGCAGTGTTAGAAGCAGGATTTGAAGCCGGATCATCTGATTCCGTAGACAGTAACTACTCTTTTTCACTATAGAAGACACAGTAGATCCAGAAAATAAAACTGAAAAGGAATTATAGAAAGAGTACCCAGAGTATTCTGAGAGGGTATTCAGGAGGAGAAGGTGATCAACATCACTATAGAAATTTATGACCAAATGCGATAGAGAGGTCAAGAAAGATGAGAGTTGATTTAATTGCCATTAGGTAGGAAAATTTAAAAATCATCAGTAACTTTTGAGAGAGCGTTTTCAGTTGAATGATGAGATATAAGCCAGATTGCAGAAGGTTTAGAAGAAGATGGGAGAAGAGGAAGTGAAGGCATTGAGTGTAGATGGCTTTTTCAAGGAGCTAAACTGAGGAGGCAAAGTAAAATACAGCATGATAAATGGTGGAGAGTTTAAGGATCTTGTTATAGGTTTTTTAAGAATGAGAAGATAATGAATTTTTTAGGTTAACAGGGAAGGCACTAGTAGATGGGGAGAGATTAAAGATTAGAGGGGAGTGTTTGTGGGGGAGAGCTCCTGGAGAAGACAGGAATGGAGGGGAGCAAAAGTACATGAAGATGGGGTGGTCTTGGCAAGGAGAAGTGCCTCCTCTTCATCAGAGTGCTGGAGTGAAGGCGTAGATAGATGTCAGAGGGATATGAGATAAGGAGAAGGGGAGAAGGCAACTCTCAGCCAATGGCCTTGATTTGATGAAGTATTAGATGAAGTGCTCAATTAAAAGGGCAGCGGAAAGGGGGAGCATGAGAGAATTACGGAGAGAAGATAAGGCTTGGAATAGCCTCTGTGGTGAGTAGGATAGAGAATCAATTATGGAGGAGTAGAAGAATTGCCTTGATACAAAGGGGATTTAGTTGATATTAAAAACCATAAATTTGGGGTTGACCCAGTCAGCACTACTGTGTTCCATCCTCTGGCTTTTTCTCAGCTGCATATGAATAGGAGTGGAGGTGGATAATGGGAGTAATTCAGGTCTGGTGTTTTGCAAGGCAGGAAAAGCAATAAGACAAGAAAACAAAGGATGCAAGAGTAGAAGAGGCTGTAGAATTGAAGTGGTTTGACCTAGGTTTTGAGAATGGAACTCTACAGTCTCCTCCGTTTGCACCCTTTGTTCTCATATCCTATATGCTCCTCATTACCTCTTCTAGACCATTAGCTAGGTGATATGGTGGAGAGAGCACTGGACCTAGAGTCAAGAAGACCTGAGTTTAAATCTGGCCTCAGACGCTTACTAGATGTATGACCCTGGGCAAGTCACTCAACCTGCTTTCTTCCATCCCTCTATCTGTAAAACATGGAGATAATAATAGCATCTATTTCCTAGGGTTGTTGTAAAGATCAAATGAGATAATAATTATAAAGTTCCTGGCATGTAGTTAGTGCTATATAAATGTTAGCTATTATTATTATTTCTGCCATCACTAAGCAAATTCTTCTTCTCTGAAGGTCACTCTATCCACATCCATCACCCAATCTGGATCATTCTGACCATTAATTACTGACCCTCAGGATATTTTATATTCTTTCTCAGTAAGTATATGGTCTCATAATCTCTCTACCTCTTGCCCTAATACTAACAGAATTCATCAAGTATGCAGATGTACCCTAAAGTACCCTAACTTCCAAGTTCCTCAATTTATACAACTCCCATAACCTACTCTTCTCCCCCACAACCTCAGCTACAAGTAGAGACTACCCTACACTTGATATTATCTTCAATCTTCATGGTCAAGAACTATGAAACTCTGTGATCTGATCATATTCTTTTATCATCCCTTCTTTTCTTTTAACTTCTTATTCTCTGTGCCTCAATTTTCTCATCTGTAAAATGGGGGCAATAATAGCACCTGCCTTCCAAGTTTATCATTAGCATAAATGACACAATATTTGTGAAGTGCTTTGAAGAGCTTAAAGTACTATATAAATATTAATTATTTTACTATTATTATTATTTACACAAACCTAGAATGTAAACCTTAGAGGGTAGGTGTGAGGTAAATGGGAATGATAGAACAGACAAGAAGGAGATGGGGAAGGGAGACTGTTCTTGGCTTGTTGGGGGTACTACCTCAGGATGTGGAGAGTAATAGGGCATGGGAGTATATTAACCATTACAGGATAAGTCCAGGTGATTGGAAGAACTCTCCTAATGAAGGCAGTGGATTAGAAGGTTTCCTGTTATTTCCTAGTCTTCCCCTCAGACAGCAGGAAGATGAAGGGCTAAGGGCACATGACTCCAAATTCTCCTACACTTAATACTTCCTCCTGAAAATCTCAATGAATCTAACAATCCGGGGAGATCACCCAGGTGAAGTACTATTCTCCTGGAAAGAGGGGATCAACAGAGCAGCCTAACCTTGACCTCATCTCCAAATTGGTAATACTGTTCCTGAATACCTTCCTGGGACTAATCTAACCTCAGTGTGCTCCCCAAAGCTACCCAAGGAAGTAACTAAAATGCAACAAAATATTAACTTTCTCACTTCATTGCCAGTAGATATTTAACAACCAATATAATTGCACAGATAGCGCAGAATTCAAGAAGCCCCAATGCCTAGTAAGCTGTCCAGGTTTACAAAGGTACTACATACTTCCCTTATTACTTAAAAGGTTGCATGCATTTGTGATCAAGATGAGAGTATGGTACAGATCTCAACTATCCCCACTTTCTCATTCTTTGTGAGATTATTCATGGTCCTTCACGAATCCTCTATGAGGATTCATCCAAAGTGCTAGAGGCCTTGGGAGCCTTTTACCATTGCATAAAGATGTTACATATATTGTCACTTTTAAGGCATTTGGTTTTTGACTATTTTTAATAGGGAAGCTTTCTATGCAAGAAGTGGGGTAGTAACCTGGAAATGACTTACATAAGAAGAAAAGACATCGACAAAACTTATTTAAAAGGGATAAAGAAAAGTACGTGGGTACTTAGGTTATCTGTTTTCCCTCCCTTTTTTCATATCTGGCCTAACTTCTTTACTGTATGATATCTTTTCCAACACTTCATCATGCAAGTCTTCATTGGTAATATGTCACAGCCTGCTTATGCCTATCATATATCTCTCATCTGCTCTTTCAGTTGCCAATAATTCTCATTCTTCAGTGATTCTGGGGTCTTCATATGCATAGTCATGGAGGATCACTGGAAGAAGATGCTTCTAAAAAGACAGATTTCTGTTTCATGAGCAACTGAAGATGGTTGAAAGTGCTATTCCATTTCCCTAATCCTTTCATCCTACTCTCTTCTTCCTATTCCATTCTGAGGCTAGTCTATTATCCATCTGATATTTGCCTAAGAGAAATATACTGATGGACTAGCTTTAAGGGCTGTGCATCCAATCACATACCACAGCATGGACAATAGGCAGTTTTTGAGTGGCTTGTACATAATAGGTGTTTAGTAAATTTTTTAATTGAATTAAATTTATTCCTTTTTTCTCCTTCCGAGGATTGTTAGGCTGAACCCTCCTGAGTGACTGAGTCTCATTTAAGATGCTATGCACTATTCTAGAGCTTAGTGCAATCAGGACAACGTCATCTGCAAATGGGAGCATCTGGAAAATTTCACCATCTATAGAGAATCCTTCTTCCATTTGGGCTCTATGCTGGATATCTTCCATAACAATAGGAAAGATTTTGGCAAGCATAAGCCTCCCTGTTTTATGCTTCACTTGATTTTGAAAATCATAGGATCATCAGGCAAAGTTATCTGTTTTCCATCTATCAAGGAATCTTGTATGATATTAACGAATGCATAGGAAATACCTTGTTAGCCCAATCTTTGAGAATGCATTTTTATTTCATCCAATCAAGTGGGAAAATGATGCTGGATTTAGAGGCAGAGGACCTTGGTTCAAAATTCTGGGTCTGCCACCTGGATGAACTTGGGTCAGTGACTTCTTTTCTTCTGTCCTACGTTCTCTCATCTTTAAAACAAAGGAGTTGAGTTAGATGACTTCTAAGATCCATTGCAGGATGAAAGTGCAGTCTGTCGGGTAATCAGCACCATCATGGGATCAGGTATTCTTGTCACCTTTTAGTCAAGTATGCCTTAAAAAAAAAATTGCAGTCTTTTAATTAAAAGGTGACAAATAACACACAGGTAGGAATTTAGCAAGTAGAAACTGTAAAAGCATCTTCTTGGTATATATTTAGCTATAGCCAAACATCTATTGCTAACAATGGATGTGGGTGCAGAGAAAAACAGTTGAGATTATTAACTAGAAATTAATTATAATAGCATAGCTCATACCAAGGTTAGAGAAAGAACAGAGTAGATAAGCTCAGAGACACAGTGTATCACTAGTGTACAGATGTTTCAACTGGTCAATTTTTGATAAAAGTCACCACTATCTTGTATGCGGAATAGTGTGTGAATGAATGACCAGGGGATATTCTGAGAAGTCCCACATCTTTCCATTTCCATCTTTGTTTATTCTGCACAGCTCTGCCCACTGACCTTCTAGAAGAAATGATTTGGAGTTTTTATCTGTACTTCTCAGGTCAAAAGATCATAGCGATCATTAGATTTAAAGCAGGAAGGGACCATATCAATAATTTAATACAACTTTGTTTTGTAGAAAAGAAACTCAAGTTCAGAAAAGTTAAGTGATTTGCCAAAGAACACAGGTAATAATCAGGGGAGCTGGAATTTTGAAACCATGTCTTTGGCCTCCAAATCCAATTTGGTATGTGGTGTGGGTTCTCAATCAGGTCCTGTGTTATTCATAGCCCAGACACAGAGTACATCCAAAAGGGAGCTGGAGCTTTGCAAAAGTGTCATAGATTCAGCCTGCAGCGGGATATCTGGTTTTCATCAGCTAAATTCATTTCTTCACTCTTAGAGGAGTCCATGGAGGTGGACATAGGGACATAGCCCTTGTTGTGGCTTTTCTGATAGAGAGGGATGTGAAATAACTGGGAAAGAGATCAGAAGGCAAGATTAGAAGCTAAGATGAATAAGAAGACTTGGAGGCTGCTCCAAATGTAGTACTCAAGAATATGGAAAATAATGGCCAGCTGCTCTCTATTCACTTAGGAGAAAAAATAAAAAGAAATAACCTTATGTTGCCAGAGGAAAAATTTTGGAAGGAAATAAGGATGAATTTCCCAACACGATTGTTCTTAAAATATAGGGCTTTATTATTAAGGAATTCTATAGAACTTTTTTGTCAGTAGGTCTTGAAAAACACAATCCATGTTTATTTGTCTTGTATGGTCCAGTTTGAAGATGAGTATGTGAACTAGAAAACCTCTTGGAGTCAAGCTGTTTACATGAAGGCAAAGAGGAGTATTGGTCTTCAATTTAGGGGAGACCAAAAATGGGGCAGCAAATCTTTCCTGCGGAGGTATACACCATGATATCTGTGGCTGACACACATGCGTGGAGCCCCTGATCAACCCTATTAGTTTCTACAGTGTGCAGAGCTATGTCTGAAGGGCACATCCCACAGAGGCAGGTATACACCCTGACACCTTGCTGAGAGGAGAAAAGGAATTCTCTCTGCTTGTTTTCCAGTGCTTGGATCTATCTCCAAGATGACTAGAGACTGAGAGTAAGGGTTGGACGGACTCTGAAAAGTCTGTTCCCGACTAGGCCTCCTACTCATGCATATCTTTCAGTAAGTCCTGCCCTTAACATAACAATATCACTCCTCCTTTAAAAGTTTTAGGGGCATTTGAATGCAACGTTAGGTTAATGGCAAGGATGAATGAAATTTACAGAGAATCATGCAATTCCATATTAATACTTTTAACCAACTACATGATTTTTTGTTATGAGTAAAGTTGCTAATACAACTATATCCATTTTTCATGAGTGATCTTTCACATAATAAATAATAAAGTTGTCCATTTTGAGCTCAAAAACCTTCAATGATTCCTTCATACTTACCAAATAAGGTTCAAACTACTTAACACGTCCTTCAAAATCCTATAGTCTTGGGCCTAAACTATCTTTTTATTTTATCTACAATACTTCGATATGACAGATTGTCCTCCTGGAATGTGCCAAGTCATTCCCACCTCCTTTCCTCTACTCATGCTGTTCTTTGATCTGAAATTCCCTTTTCCTCTATCTTCACTCCCCTGCTTATCCAACTTTTAATCCATCCCTCAGAACCAAGCTTCATTCCTACTTCCTTCATTTTACTTGTACCTCTGGCATCTAGTACAGTATCTAGCTTGGTCCTCTTTGAGTATAAAGGATCACAACCAATAGTATCTCAACATAGTAGGCACCAAATAAATACTTATTGACTGAGTGATTGATTGATTCCTTCATGAACAATTCATTCTCTGGGTACTTAACCATTTACAAGGAACCTCAATCAAGTTGGTATTCTGCTAAGGGAAACTACGTTTGCATCAAGTAGAGAAGCATAGTAAGGCAGGGTAAAGTCCCTGATAAGGGTCATCTTAATTTCCTTTTTTCTTCAGATTAAAGAGCTACTTTATATTTTATTCTAATCTTCTTCAATAGACAGAAGGGCCCCAGAATATGAAAATGGGTCCATGCGAGTCCAGAACTGTCTTGGAACACTTTTTGTCCCAGTATAGAAATATCATCAGAATTTTAGAGTCCCTATGACCACTGGGAATAGTACTGTATTTACAGTCAGAGGATCTGGGTTCAAATCCTAGTTTTGTCACTTTTTGTAGACTTTGGGCAAATCACTTAATTTATGTGGGCCACATTGGTTTTTATCATCTGTAAAATGGAGGTGGAGAGTTTGGACAAGATAATTTTGAATTCCCTTCCAACTCTAAATCCAGAATCCTATGATCCTATGACTTGAGAAGTTTATATAACTGGAGGGCACCCACAAGTAGAGTGTATAAAACTCTAATATGGATGTTGTATCATATGGCCCCAACTCACAAATGAGTTGTGTCCCAAAAGTTTATCTTTTAATTTTGTGTTTGAAATTCAGAGTGCATTTTCCCAAAGAAACAATATCACAAGTGGTGGTTAGTTCCTCAGACTAGTCTATTAAATGATAAATTCCACAAGAGTAATGAAGCTGTCATTTAAACTCTACACTAAATGACCTGAGCTCTAGATCTATGGAGTCACAAGTCATTAGGCAGAGGTGAAAAGAGAGTGTCCTCCCTACTTTCTTGTATAATGGTTCTATGGCATTAGGTTCCATAGGTCCAGCAAGAGTCACTGGGGATAGAGTAACATCTATTTACAAGCATCATTTAAAAAAAATTTTTTTTTAGGCTATTGGGGTTAAGTGACTTGCCCAGGGTCACACAGCTAGTAAGTGCCAAGTGTTTGGTCTGAGGCTGGATTTGAACTCAGGTCCTCCTGACTTCAGGGTCAGTGTTCTATCCACTGTGCCACCTAGCTGCCCCCACAAGCATCATTTTAAGGTCAGATATTCTTTAGTTGGATACTCTTTGTACAGCTTTGTAACATCTCTTTTAACTTGCACTTTTTTTTGCTTGTCTAACTTTCCACAACTTTCTATGACTAGCTAATAAACTCCTTTAGGTTACAAATTTTGTGTTGTCTTTTCATTTGTCTGCCTCAAGTAACTTGCTTAGTCAACTACTCATGTGAGGTGTTGAATAAATATTTATTGAATGAATAAACTCCTATTTAAAATAAGTAAAAGGTTTCCCATGATTCAAATTTATCCTTTGACCTTAAATACACATATACATACATTAATTAATGTTTCATAATACCTGGTACCCCTGCTGATTGATTTGCTATACCCTATAGGAGTGAGTAGACTTTTCTGAAGAAAAAGTGTGGTGAATGAATGGAAACCCTTCAAGAAGAATTACAGAGAGCCACAGAGAGCCAGTTTTCAACAATTGTCACCTTATGGATGAAGGCAAATTGTAAAAAGATCTACGAAGCAAAAATTTCCAACATGACAATATTATACCACTAAAATTATACTGGAAACTACTGTTAACAAATAATCAAAAGTGATTCCCATTCTTGGGTCTCACTCTAAGGGGAGTGATAATCAGGAGCAAAATAATCACATAGTAATAAGAAAGAGAGAGAATAAGAGGTTTAAGAAGTGGTAATGGTCCAAATTCCTGTTTACCATTTTCAAAACTGTAATCATACGTTGTCTTCATTAAAACGCTAAATATCTGAGGCTTTATTCGGTTAAAAAACCCCGTTAATTTAAAATAGTCATTTGGTATGATATATTCGGTAATAGTATTCATTCAATAACAAATATTTGCTGTGTGCCTGGCACTGTACAAAACGAGGGGATACAGAAAAAGGCAAAGGCAGTCCTTGCTCTCAGGGAACTCATAGTCTATTGGGGGAGACCATACGCAAACAGCTTTGCGCAAACAAAATAGAGAGGTGGCTCAGTGGATAGAGTGCTAGACCTGTAGTCAGGAAGACCCGAGTTCAAATCCAACCTCAAATACTTACTAGCTGTATAACACTGGGCAAGTGACAACCTCTGTTTGCCTTAATCCAGGGGAGAAGGAAATGATAAACTATCCCAGTGTCTTGTCAAGAAAACCCCATGGACAACATTGGCACTTTATGGTCCACGGCATAACAGAATCTAACATGACTTAATGACTAAAAATCAACAATGTGCAAATAAGATATATACACGATCAATTGGAACTAATCAACAGAGGGAAGGCACTAGAATTAAGAAAAATATGGAAAGGCTTCCCCTAAGGTCAGATTTTAGTTGGAACTTGAAGGAAGCCAAGTAAAGTTGGGAAGAAAAAAAAACTCAGTGGAAATACAGTGGCAGATATTCCCTAAGAATACTAAAAAGGAAAGCATTTGTATATTTTCAATCAATAAATCTTTTTTATTGCTATATGATTAATAGTTTGAAGTTCTAGACAACAATTTGGAATTATGCAAGAAAAGTTACTAAATTGTTCCTACTCTTTGACCCAGAGAATCCACTATT